CAATAATTAATGAGTTTCGTGAGTGTAAAGAATGTTGAGCATTTAAACTATCAAAAATAAAAAGTTATGTATTTTTTAGTGCAACTTATTAATTACTTTGTCTATTTTAAAATGCAATTTTACGCCTATATATATGTATGTGTGTGAGAAAGACACTATAAATTATATAGTTCCCGTTGAAATGTTATCCGTGCCGAGTCAAGTTGAACACCTCATGTTTAATATTGTGATAGTTAATAAATGAGTTTGATAAGCTTGACTATTTAATAAATAAATAAAAATATAAGCTCAAACTTGACTTGGTAAGCTTCAATCTACTCGATTTGTTTAAGAAAGTCTAAATAGTCGTTCTAGCTTGGCTCATTTGAATATATGAACGATATGAGATCAAACTTTCACGAGTTGAACAAACACAATCCGATTCCAATTAACTGCTTTGGCCCGTCCCAATTTTTTTTTTTTTTCTAGATCCGCCCCTGAATGGTTGATAGTGTCAAAATGATATTTAAAAAGAATAAGATGTAGTATATAATACTCTCTGATCCACTGGTCCTAGCTGTAGGGTTTCTAGGTCGTGATCCATTGGTCCTAACGGTAGGGTTTTTAATTGATTTGAAATCAATCTACCGACTTATACCTATTGTTATATCAATTATGATTAATTCTTGTTGTATCATTGAATTGGAGATATGGCACTTGTTTTATGGAACAAAATAGTTCCTCACAAATGTATAGTTATCGCAAAAATGTGTTAATCGTTTGATGGCGCTCATTATTTATTTATCCCCTCTGGGTTCCTGTTCCACTAGTGTTATTGCACTTGAACAACATCAATGGTTCTAATCCAAGTTTGACTAAAGATTAAAAGAAGCAAACTTCTAAATATGGCCATTTAACAAACACCAAGTCACTAGAAAGAACGATTAAATGACCTTAAAATTAAAGTTGACCTATGGAAGGAAGCTTTCCATGGGTAACTCTTCGACATCAAACGTCGTGTAAACGGGTAAAGTGGTGCAAAAAGTGACATAGAGCAAAAGACTTGGCGCTAACAAAAGTTTTGCATGTCCCAAATATCCATAAGAACCTTATATCCAATGCTCTTTTGAGCTAAATCGGTTTTAGATTAGTTTTTGAAGCAGATAAATTTGTAATAATTAAAAACAGTGTGTTCGTAACAAAAGAGTAGTTATATGAGTGTATTTCTAAGATGAATATTATTAATGTAATTTACCAAGAGGCGAAGAATAAAACAAATATTTATTATTTGGTAGACTTCTAATTTATTGTTTGATAAATTAGGACATGCAAACTTTTACGCAATTAAAGTTTGGTTAATATGATTTATATAACTATAGTTAAAATAGATTCAAACAACAAGTGCAAGACATGTGTTGAATTGAAAGAGGATAAAACATTGTTTAAATAGGTGGCGATAAGCACTAATCCACTCAAGTTAATACACATGGACATATGCAATTTGAGCTTTGTGCAAGCTAGAGCTGAGTTGAAGTATTATTTTTATCCAAGGTCTCTAGTTTACGTTTAGGCTAATCCTAGACCTCCAAGAAACCGATCCCTCAACACATAGTCGTTCCCCACCTCACTTGTACACTCTGCGCACAAAGAGCCCACCCCTAAACGATCGAACAACACTCCTGGTACAGTTCTAGAGAATAGGTATTGACTTTTCTAGGCTTATGATTTTCAACGGTAATCGAACTCCCACCCTGCAGCAGGAGCAATACTACTTAACATGACTGATCGAACCACTTGAGCTAGCCAAGGAGTGGTGAAGCATTTTATTAGGTTCATAGACGATTGTACAAATTGTTACATTTATTTATTAAAGCGTAGTAACGACACATTTGAAGCCTTAAAAATGAATAAAAAATAAAATTTAGAATAACATAATCAAAAGATCAAAGTTATTCAAAGTGATAAATTATTTGTAGCTCAATAGAGAATGAATTATGGAGAATTAATGCATCGTGTCATTACAACTCTATATCTCGTGTCATTACAAATTATTTCTTTTTTTATTTTTTCCTTACGTTTCTTTTTC